CAGTTAGTGACACGTTATAGTAACAGATCAACATGTTTTACTGTCGTGTGTAAGCCGACCAAGGCACACGTATCGTACAAACGTTCAACATCAAAACGATTGCTCTCCACTCATACATTGCCATGGACAGATTGCTGTGTTAACACACATTGTGGATACAAACACGGATATAAGAAAATTTCATCATTATACATTATGTATGAATATACGTTTTCACGTCCATTCCCGCGGCCCTTTAACGTCAGTCTTGCATCACATCACGATGGTCTGCACAGTGATACGGTGATGACGGTGATTGAACAATCAAACACACACTCCATGCTGCCATTGGTATGACACACATAACTACGGCTATCGTCAAAATTACGCTCATTTGTATAGGCTTTGTATTGGATCTGTGTAACAGAAACAAACATCAGTGAAACATCATTCTTAAAGGGTGGTAGTCGTCGCGCCGCGCATGTGCGACATTTGTGTTGATTTTACTACAATCCAATGCGATTTTCTAATGAAATCATGAGTATGAGTTTTTACCTGGGTGCCATTTGCACTAATTACCGCCGGCGACTCCTTCGATACCATCCAATCACCAAACAAAATATCAAATTGTACCTGTATGTGTGCGCAACACTCAAAATTACCATCTTAAATTGTTTATACGAGACCTATACCTGGCGCATGTGTGGCGCGACGACCACCGCCCTTTAATGTTTACTTATAGTTGTACAATGTAATACCATGTGTGTGATTGTTGATCGTTTACATGTACGTAGTCAGATTACAACAAGGTAGGTCGTGGAATGTCTGTCTTCTAATAATATTAGCTCGATTGAAACAGTGTTTAACATGTTATTATACATACCCATTATTAATCCAATTAAATCGACAAAAAGTCAGCCACACTGTGACAATTAAAAGTCCGGTAAATTCTCTGAAAGTAATGTATACATTATTACTACTGTGTAAACTCTCTAACAGTGTTTTTTTTAAAAAAAACTAATCTTGTTGCATTGTATTATAATCGATGAACTAAAACAAACTACCATTACTTATACGAATGAGGGCGCTGTTGTACCTTCCTTCTTCTTTCTTCATTGGATTGTCTGTGAATTGTCCGATTGAAGCCACTGAGTAAGCCATGCCAACTATGCACGCCCCAATATGTATAACTACCAGCCATTTATAAACAGGGTTATCTATTACAATAAATACAATAAAAGACAACGGATAAATGGATTATGTTGCCCACTCCAACGAAGAGGGCGTCAACAACACACTTGATAATCGCCATCTGCTGCGAACAACAGTTTAATTGCTCCACAGACTGAATGCAATGCAATGAACAATAAGTGTATTAGATAAACACGTTTTACATGAGGCGATTCACGAGGTTGCCTTGATATAATTGCGTCGCCAAGATAAGTCAAGTAACATCGCCCGGAAACCGTAATAGTGCATATGTTATTGCCTGTGTTGGCTCGGTGTACGACTCGCCTTGTGTAAAACGCTACTTAACATTCTGTAAATAGATATTCACTCATGAATAAAAAGCAAAAAATGAAATGCTCATCAATATTATCAACTATATCGCATTTATTGATATATGTTTATGGCCCATCAGCCCAGTATGTCTCAGTGTTCATCCCCTCTCACCTGTGATACTCGCAGAAACTATAGCAACGATACCGAGCATGGCGGGTACGATGTATAACGTCTACAGCAGACAAAAAATGGAATATTAGCCATGTCACAAGTGAGGGCGTCGTGAGTATATAAATGAAAACTCATCATATATATATAGTATACGTAATGAGACACAATACATCAACGAAAATTTGCAATGCAGTCACCGTGGGTGGACACTCAACTGGTTTATGAATATTTATATTCATTGAGAACTCACCATCCAAATGAACGGATCCGGGTCATTAACCTGCAATAGGAATACAGTATTACGCATGTACATTTTAAAAGAACAATAAGCGCTAGGCTTTATTATCATACTTGTCTGCACAGTTTTCAGTGACGATAAACAGAAACCTGGCCCGGTGATACAACACAATGGTAAATACAACACAATGGTAAAGTTTATGAGAAGGTTAACTTAGAGGTCACACAAGAGGTCACACAAGACGAGTACAAAACAAAAAAGTGATATATTATGTACCTTAATGTAAACAATTTTAATCAGCGTCGGTCGTGTCAGTATGAATTCGACATCAATGATATTTTACAGAACTTGAAAACAAAGAACCAATATACATCTCACCTGGGCGATCGCACAGAGGAGAAAGAACGTTGCCATAACTCCGTGAACACTTTTCCATATTATCAATTGAACAACAGATGGTGAACCATGGTCATTGTCGGACGTCATTCTGGTTGTACTTCATTCAGATGTTGTTACCGGGTGGTGCCATTCAGCACAAAACTCTGTACCAGACAATATTTTATACATTCAATCTAATAGTTTAATATTAACTTTATGTTTTATTAATTTGTAACCACGGTATGCGTGTTTGCTCAGATATCTACATCACAATAGTAGTAGATTATGTGGAATTTAATATCAACTTCCGGTGATTGAATAGACACAGTACACAACTAGATGCATGCATGTTACACAGGACAACCCACCGTAGGGAGACCATACAACACAATGGCGAGACCATGAACAGCACAATGGTGAGCCCATACAACACAATGGTCAGACCATACAGCACAATGGTGACACCATACAATACAATGGCGAGACCATGAACAGCACAATGGTGAGCCCATACACACAATGGTCAGACCATACAGCACAATGGTGACACCATACAATACAATGGCGAGACCATGAACAGCACAATGGTGAGACCATACAACACAATGGTCAGACCATACAGCACAATGGTCAGATGATACAACACAATAGTGAGACCATACAACAAAATAGTGAGACCATACAACACAATGGTGAGACAAAACAACACAATAGTGAGACCATACAACACAATGGTGAGACCATACAACACAATGGTGTGCCCAAACAACACAATGGTGAGACCATACAAAACAATGGTTAGACCATATAACACAAGGTGAGACCATACAACACAATGGTGAGACCATACAACACAATAGTGAGACCATACAACACAATGGTG